GCCCCGCCCTGCCACCTCTGCGGTACGAGTGTGGTGCAGCGAGGGAGGATTCCTGGGCGATGCTGCTGCAACCAGGAAGCAAAGCGCCCCGACCAACCTCTCGACGGGAGGGCAGAGCCGAGGCAGGCGAAGGAGCAAGGCTTCCAATCCGTGTAGTAATACGTCTCCTGAGAGAGGGCGGGGTGTGGCGAGGCGGGGCGGGGTGTGGCGTGGTGTGGTGTGGCGGGGCGGGGCGGGGCGAGGCGGGCTGCAGACCGGCGTCGAGCAAGAGTGCAGGAAATTGAAGCGGCGCGCTGCGAGCCATCAAGCTAATAGTGTGGCCGGGATCGGCTCGAGCCTGCTGAGCCGCGGTGGGGCGTAGCGTGGCGTGGCGGGGCGTGGCGGGGCGCGGCGGGGGCAGTTAGGCGTGGCGGGGCGCGGCGCCGGTCTTCCCATTTACCCCCGGCGGCGCTGGCTCCTCGGCCAACAAGATGGTCTCGATGGTCTGTACCGCCGGGGCCCGGCCGCCGCGGGTGTTCTCGGTTCCCACCGCCACTAGCGTACTCTGCTCGCCATCCTTCCTCCCTTTTTCTCTTCTGCTCCCACCTCGCTCCGCCATTTGTGCTCTTGTTTTTGTTGTTATTTTTTTTTTTTTCAAACACCGCCTCTAGCTTTTTGGTTTCGGTTCGCCCTGTTTTCTCTGGTCGGCGCCGCCCTTTTGTGCAGGGGCGGCGGCGGGGACATCGTCCATATTGCGTATATATCAGGGGACCGCGCACGACCGCGCGACCGTTTGGCCGACTCGGCCCGGCCCAGATTAAGGGAGAGCGCATAGAGAGAGGGGGGCTGTGATCGAGTTTGGGCGTGGCAGGGCGGGGCGGGGTGGATTTTCAGGAGGGAGGAGGGGAGGCTGACCACAAAACGGCACCGTTTTCAAATCCCAATTCGGTGCAGCCAGCCCCGACCGCCGGCGCGCCACGGGTCCTGTCGGGGCCCTGCGCCTGGCCTGCAGGCAATGCCGCTAGGCTGTCACTGCGAGCGGGGCGGGGCGGGGTGGGGCGGGGCGGGGCTCTGCATTTTATATGCACATCGGGACAATGCCCCCGGGGGACTAGAGAGACCGACAGACGGGCAGACAGACAGGCGGGCGGACAGACCGAAAGGCGCTGTCCAACTTGCTGTATCGAAGTCGTGTGTGTGTGTGTGTGCGCGCGCGCGCGTGTATGTGTGTCTTTTCTCCCCCTAACAGCACGACCACTTTCGCGTCGTATGCCAAACCATTTTGTGTTGTGCGTGTGTTGTGTGTGTGTGTGCTGTGTGCGCTTGTCCGGCAGAGCCCCCTGAGCCCACTCCATCCGGGTGGTGGATCCAGCCAGCGGTCGGTCTCTTCTCCTTATCCCTGGAGAACCACCCCCTCCCCGCCCCTCCACGCCCCGCCCCGCCACACCCCCATGTCCTACGCCCTATATTCAAATCGCACGCGGGCCGCCACTGAAACAGCTGCTGCCTCCAACCTGCCGCGCCGCCGGCGACCGGAGGGACCCAACCTCACGCGCTTCTTGGAGGACGCGGAGGAAGCCCTCGTTGTGCTCCTTTCTGGTGGAGGGGGATGGCGCCTGCGTCGTCGTGGCCTCGGGCGGCGTGGTCGAAGCCGAACAGAGGCCGGCCAACCGCCCCGCCATTGCGGCGAGGACGCTCCGTGGACGATACTGCTGCTGCTGCTGCTGGCCTGATGGCCCGGGGGGAGGCTATATAGATTGGAGCATTTGTCACCTCAGCCCGTGACGTCCAAGAGTGTCTCGCGGCGGCGGCGCGGCCGGCCGCAGCACCCGCGATAGAGACACGGAGAGAACAAAACCAACGAGTGAAATAGAAAAGAACTTTGTTATTATATTATTTCATGGGAACACAGTGAAAAGTAAATTGATACTGTACATACTTGTTTCCCTTGGTTTTCTTCGGCAATAAAGAATAAGCTGTAATTTCCAAAACAAAAATATATTTTTTCTCGGTAAAAATAGTCCCACCGAATCGAGCTATGAACAACTAGTTCTGTATTGTTAACAAAAAATTTTTTTTTGTTGTTGTTCAATGTTTTCCTTTTTTGTTCTGTTTTTTTTTTTTTGTTTTTTTTTTTTGTGGGAGTCAGCGGACGCTCAGCAGTGGCGCTCACTAGGCACGTGCGGCGTCATAAAACTCACACTGCAGTTTGAGAACTCGCCGCCCGGCCCGGGGGGGGGGGGGGGGCTGTAGTGGTGGCGGCGGGCCCGAGCGGGGAGGCCAGCGATGAGAAATGACGTCCGCCAAAGATACGGGGAGTTCTGCCCCCGCTGCTGCGTCCGCGAGGAAGAGTAGTGAAGAACGAGGAGGGATAGAAGAAAAAAATGAAAACTTTGTTGTTGCCTCGCCATGAAAGCAACGCGCCAAGTAGGAGATGGCGTAAGCAAGTGCGCCGGTGTGGAGAGAGAGAGAGAGAGAGAGAGAGAGAGAGAGAGAGAGCGCTTCGAGCGCGACAATTCCGCGATGGAGTGAAGGAATTTTTTTTCTGCTTGCGCGCTCGAGCCCCGGCTTGCCCCGGTGTACGTCTGTTCTTTTTACGATATGGTTATGAGGTGCTGCTAGACCCAGACCCTCCTGTCGTGCGAGGTGCACGTGACTCTCTCTCTCCCTCCCTCCCTCCTTGCAAAGGTGCAAAAGGAATTAGATCAATCTGTGGGGGTGCGACACGTCTCTCCATTTCTCTCTCGCTCTCCGCGCTCCCTTTTCAGTCCGCCGCGACTCTTCTGCTCGCAACTCTGCTCATACTCCTCCCTCTTCTGCTCTGCATGCCTGGCGTCACTCCCCACCTCTCCCGCTGCTCGCGCGCTCTCTGATCTCACGAGCACTGCTTCTCTCTCTCTCTCTCTCTCATACTCACTCACTCTCTCTCTCACTCACTCTCACTCACTCGCTCCCTCTTGCGCTCGCCTTTTCAGGTCGTGGAGTGGCGTGTGGCGTGGCCGGGAGCCGTGGCGGGGCGGGGCGGGTCGCGAGGCGTCCCGGACGACGAGTA